GACGTTTCTGTGATTTGAGTGCTAATCTTCAGCCTAGGGCATAGAGGTTCAACTCCTTCATTTCACGCAGGCTTCCAGTGAGACATCAGGCATTGCACTTCATGTGGACACCTTAGAAGACATCTGTTTGAGGGCAACGTAGTTGTCTAAGCTGAGACATAGCTTTATACCTGGCTTTGAGAAGATGTTTTTCCTCTTTTTTCATAACAACATTCACTATAAGGAAGGATGCCTGAAAAAAAAATAGGCCGTATTTCTTTTGCAGTGACTACATATCATCTTTTTGGTCATCTTATGGTCCAAACTCTCATGCACGTTTTATGTGGGTATAAAATTATAACCTCTGAAAAATAGCTGTCAAGAAGAGGAAAAGGATGAAAAGGCCACAGATATGTGAACTTGAATCTCTCGATAATCATCTGGGTAGGGAAAAAGCTGTCTCAGAAATCCATTTCTATGGAATATGTTGTATTTTATTTTCCAAACGCACATGGGACTGAGAGGAAGGCTATTGGTCTATAACCACAGTGTAGAAGACAATGCAGTACAGTCTTTTTTCTCTCTCTCACTCCCTGAAGGGTTTTTTTGTTTGTTGGGTTTTTTTTGTTTGTTTTGGGTTTTTTTGTTGTTTGGTTTGGTTTGGTTTGGTTTTGGGGGGGGGCGGGATGTTAGCGTGTTTTTTTTTGTTTTGGGAGTTTTTTGGTTGTTATTTTGTTTGGTGGTGTGGGGTTTTGGGGTTTTTTGGTGGTGGCTTTTTGGTTGGGTGTTTTGTTTTGAGAGAGAGAGGGTAAACAGGTATTCTCTTCTTCAACTCTTCTCCTCTTATCTGCTTTGGTCTTCAGGCTGCCCCTCGCTGGTCCCGAACCACACATTCTGCTTTCTCCAGTACTTCAAAGAGAACAGTTATGTTTGTAAGGCTTGACTGGAAACCTCTTTATCCCAATATTAAAAGATTTTCTGTACTCCACCCTCCTCTGTCCTTTCAACAACAAATGAAACCCAGCTTTAACATGAAGGGGAGCTCAGAACAACGTCCACTGATGGTCCATTAAGGGCAGCAGCAGGAGAGCACCACAGCATATGTGGAGGTGTGTGAAAGAGCACTCTTCACTTTGTGTGTCCTTACCGGTCAAGGAGCTGATGAAGAATATTTCAAGTGGCTTCAAAGTGATTAATTCTATTTACATTATCACTGGTCATCTCCACTTACAGAAGAAAAGAAGAAGGAGAAAAGGAGACTAGGTTGGAAGTTGGGTAAGAGAACAGCCTTAAGTTTGGTCCTCACAAAAACATCCCTTTGAAGACTGTAAAAGGAACAGTCTAAATCTCAGGTGTTTATTTCTGCATTCTCCCTAACACTCTTCCACGAGTTTTTTTACTAGCGGTCTCGTTATGCTGCCCTTTCCATCAGTTATGCTGATCTTTCCACCTGTTCTCACTTCTGGCAACCCTTCAAGCACTTTTTGAGAAAGACCAAATTCATTCCTACAGTCTGATTTAGAAGTTATATCTCCCATTCATCAAGGAAAGTAATAATTTCATTTTATAAAATAAAGTGTGATTTGACAATGTTTACATATTTGAATAATGTAGGCATGTTCTGATACAACATCTTGGTACCATTTTCCTTAGCTTTTGTTTCATTCTAGAAATTAGTTTGACTAAAAACTGGAAGGAAAAAATTGTTTATAACAAATGATGAGAACAGTTCACCTTACCTTAGAAATAAAAATACACATTTTAAAACATTAGTGTCCAACTTTCTTCCTTCTCCTGCAGTACAGCTCCAAGAAATTTGAAAACGCAAGGGGAAATCCCAACTAGATAAAACCACTGGACAACCCTCTAGAAAAATTTAGTATAGATGTTTGAAAAAACTCTATATTCAAATTGCAACTGACTCAGCAAAATTGTCAAGTGTTTAGAAAATGTAGCAGTAGTATTTGTGATAAAACAGGTACAATGAAGCATCAAGAAAAATTTCCTCCAAGTTATTGTATTTTACTGTAGAACATCAGCTCCACCTGCTGGTAAAAGTAAGTTCATGGAATGGCATGCTACAGTTTTGCACAAACCTATGTTTGGCAAGTGAAGAGTCTTTGTGTTGTATGAGTCAAGAGCTTTTGATTTAAAGTAAAGAGTTGTATATCAAATGTCTATCCTGACACAGTTTGATGACATGATGCTTAAGAAAAATAGTTTACAGTGACAGTATTTCATGGTCTATATATCACTGTAAGCACGTGACTTCAAAAGGTTATTAGTGCAATGCACGCCAGTTGTAAAAATAGCTCCAAATATTAAGAATGGGTCAGCTGTTTTTCTGCTAGCTATTAATTTTCATTAAAAACAAATTATGATTAACAACATTGTGATTAAAACCAAATCCATATAATAAAAAATATAAATATAACATCACAAGCTACACATCTTTTAAAAACTCTTCTACTCAAAAAACCACTATGTTTTCTTTCAATATAAGACATTAGTTTTCAAGCCGTTTTCACTGGTTTAAAATTTTTAATTAACATTTCCTAGAAACAAGCTAGAGACGTGTGGTTAATAGTAAAATCCAGCACCCTCTAGGCTTCTCTTCAAAGAATTCAGATGCACAACATAAATCAATGTTAAAATGAGCATTCACTTAATTAAGGATTGTTTCAAACATAAAAACTATTGCTCTCTGAATTCTGTTCCAAGATTTTTCAAGTCTTTTCAAAAGTTGTCTTTAATTACTTTGTGAGTTTTCTAATAAACTTGTGATTATCTAAGCTCCAAACTTCCAAGCTTGAAGAAAATAGTGTAATTCTGGCAGCAACGACTCAGTCATGTATCTCCAAGGCGGTTTATTTAGGGAACATGTGTAAAAAGTTAGAACAGATATCTACGTACTCCAATGACACCACAAATATATACAACAAATTTCTACTTCTAAATTTTAGTGCTAGGCTGACAAATGTTTTTTCCCAAGAAAGGAAAATAGTTCTGGCTCTTCCTACACTTCAGAGAACAGTTACTTGAAATCCTTTTTGGACCTGCTTTCAGAGCAAACTATTTCAAGGTACCAAATCATACAATCCAACCCACCAAAAGCTTCCAGTGATCAGTGAGAACCCAGGTTAGCCTGGAGTTCCACCAGTGAGTTAGAGACACTTAGCAGCTGCTTTACTTGGGAGGAGTCTGATAAAACATAGTTAAAATAGAATCAAAACTTCTCCATAACAGGATGTTCTCTTGACAGATTTCTGCACAGAATTAACTTTGCTCAGGGTAATGGAATTTTATAAACACAAAACATCTAACACAACAGGCTTCACTCCAGTAAACTGTACGAGGTGCACACAAAACCATACATTTTGTTTCCACTGGTAGCATGCTGCAATGGTTGAAAAAAGGTCATACTTACATTAGCCTAAAACACTTGAAAACAACTAGGCAATAATGTCTCTGATGAACTGCAGCAGAGTAAATCTTTTTGGTGTAAAACATTTTAGGAATTGACTAAGCGAATCTTTAAAGGCAGCTGTACTATTTTGGTAAAGCGAAAATAATGGCAAAGAACTTCTGTTTCAATACTTTAGAACAATTACTAATCAATCTTGTAAAGATGGCATTTTAAAGGGAAACCTCACTCTTAAAAGCTGAGCTACATGAATAGTGTTTCATGCTGCCTTTCTTTTTTATTATAGTAATAACACAGAATCAAATTTTTCAATATTGATACCCAAAATTTTCTGTCCATTTCTGAGGAACTTCTGTTTAAATCAATAACGAAAACCCTACAAAAAGTCATGGAAAGTACAATAGTAGGCAGAACAATTTTTACATCTAAATAAACTAACGCTCCAATAGCTCTAAGCAGCTAAGCACGAAACAGTGCAATTCCACAGCAATGTGAGTTAGCAGACAAATCAGCATTCCCTATCACAACTTACAGCATTTGTAGAGCTTTAAGCATATTAGCTGTCACTCAGTCAAGTCAAAGCCATGTTACCAGTTAGCAACCCTCAACAAGTCATTTCACTAGGATACTTTCTAATTGCCTACTGAGTCCCTCAGTACCCAAGAACATAAAACCAAGAAGAAATTGTAAATGTCTGATTTTCTCAGCCGTCTGTGTGCAGCAGCACATAGATGGTGTTTGTGCACACAGACCTTTTCCAGCTAAACATGAAGACCTGGAGGACAAGGCAGTAATGCCCCTTGTCATAAACAGGCTTGGTTTGTAAACCCTATTCTCTCACTACAGCTCTATTCCAGACGTATCACCAATTATCACATCTGGAGGGTGAACAACATTCATGCCAGTGTCACAAAACTTCACCTCCGGTCTAACAGTCAGTTTACATGGATCAGACACGCTAGCTTTAGGTGAAGAGCAGTCAGTGACAGCCAGTACCCATAGAGCTATCACAGCCCACTTATGGCGTGGTTTGACATTCTTGCTCCTGTTCTCTGGCACCAACAGCTTACCTTAAGTGGGTGGGTACTCTGTGTTTTGCAACAAGAGGCAACTTACCTAACTGGGGCTCATAGGAAGCAAAGCACAGCCCAGAGAAATGCAGGACAGGCATTACTGAAGTCACTAGTTTTTTGGTCAAGGAAGAGTTCATTTTCTTAAATTCTCTGGCAACACGTTTGGAGTGCCATAATTAGAGGCATTCAATAGCCATAAAGTAAGGATGGCAGCTAAAACAAATTGTTGCTACCTAAGTTAGTATTAACGAAGCCCTAAAGTTTCCAATGAACAAGCATTACACACTAAGGTACACAAACTTTATACTACAAATAATTATATAATCTAGGAGACAACTAAATATTTGTACAGAAGAACATCTGATAATACGGACATAATAGGGAAGGGCCTACACACCAGTGAAGAGATTAGTAAAAGCAACTTCTTCTAGAACCAATGAATTTACCTACACTTACAAAGTGTCTTATCTGTGAAAACAGGTTAAGAATACATTCCATTTATTTCATTAAAAATTCTTTCTTACCTTTAATTTTCTAACAGCATCTCTTACAACTTCTGTGCCTTTGGGCTGCTCCACTTCCGTACTGCCAAGAAACTGAAAAAATTGTAATTTGTGAGAAATAAGTTATGCATTGAAACACCTAATTAACTCAAGTAATCATATTTTCCAATTATTGCCAAATAACATTTTGGAAAGACAATCATTTCAATAGTTGATAAATAAAAAATCTTCATACAGCTATTTCTAATCAAGAGAGTAACAAAAATTAAATTCTAATTAGACAAATATAAGAGTTATTAAAAACAGCTTTTAAAAAACATTTTATCTCGATCCTATACAAGTCTGTAAATTAGAGGTTAAGTACCTTTTTCCACTGGGAAATTGTCATTTTGGTAATATAATCTTTTTTGGAAAATAATGAAAAAATGCCAAAAAAATACTGATATAAGATACTTCCCGTGAATCAACATAAGCCAATGGTTTGGACTATGTTACTAAAACTTTCATACAGTGATGCAAGATAAATTAAAAAGGCCTGTTTTTTGCTCTCAGAGCTGCTTGGTACAGTAATTTCATAGATTTAAAGGAACTAGGCTTCAAGTTACATAAAAACAAGGCTCATATTAAAAGAATTTCTACTAGAGATCATATTTTTACCAAGTAAGGTTTTAATGAAAACCAAACATACAGCTGTTAATATACAAAGCATGATACTTCAAGGGGACCTTACCATTTCTTTATTTGTACACTGAAATGCCTTTACGTTCTTCCGTACAGTTTTGCTTGCCTTCTACTATACTGTTATGAAAGGTACCATAACCCTGCCCAAACCGTACCTGGGTAATAATTTAAATAATTTCAAATTGCCTGATTTTCACATTGAGGTACAGTTGATATAAGTCACACCATGTACCTGTACATGCCAAAATAATGCTAGCAAGAAAGAACAACCCCTTTTTTTTCTCTAAAGTACACAATTTTCTGTGTAACATGACACACAGAGGTATGTATAATTTTTAAGTCTTAGCAGTTTCAAAAGGAACTTAAATTTGCCAAGCTACAGATGCTTTCAACATAGTAATTCTAAAGTTTTTAATTCTATTAAAACTTTGAAATGTGTTTACTGTAGTCAATGTGCTCAAGCTTTGCAGCTCTACCAAGAATTAAGTCTCATTATAAATTTGCTCCTGACTTTGAAATATGAGGTGCCATCTTGAATACAACAGTGTGCAAATCAAAACACTAGGCACATCTGCTGTCAATACTCGCTACTACTACAGTTCTCCAGCTAGGAGACCAAGGTTTTCTAATAACAAAGCAGAAACCTCTATTATTGATTTGTTATGCAACATCTCCAATGACTTTAAATAGAGGGTGTGTTCTTCCCTGGAAAAGTGACAGTTGCAGAAAATCATAGAATCATAGAATCATTAAGGTTGGAAAAGCCCTCTAAGATCATCAAGTCCAACCGTTAACCCAACACCACCAGGCCCACTAAACCATGTCCCTAAGCGTCTCATCTACATGTCTTTTAAATACTTCCAGGGATGGTGACTCCACCACTTCCCTGGGCAGCCTGTTCCAAGGCCTGACCACTCTTTCAGTAAAGAAGTTTTTCCTGATGTCCAATCTAAACCTCCCCTGGCGCAACCTGAGGCCATTTCCTCTCGTCCTATCGCTGGTTACTTGGGAGAAGAGACCAACCCCCACCTCGCTACAACCTCCTTTCAGGTAGTTGTAGAGCGCGATGAGGTCTCCCCTCAGCCTCCTCTTCTCCAGGCTAAACAGCCCCAGTTCCCTCAGCCGCTCCTCATAAGACTTGTTCTCTAGACCCTTCACCAGCTTCGTTGCCCTTCTCTGGACACGCTCCAGCACCTCAGTGTCCTTCTTGCAGGGAGAGGCCCAAAACTGAACACAGTATTCGAGGTGCGGCCTCACCAGGGCCGAGTACAGGGGCACGATCACCTCCCTACTCCACGCTATTTCTGATATGACATTATGGATACTACATGTGACAGACAGAAAGGGAAAGGTGAGTGAACCTATGTAAGCAAATGTGAGTTAAAAAAAAGGTAACCACAAGCTTGAATGGACAAGAAAGAAAGTAGATAAGGACAGATGAGAATCTAACAGGAATACTAACAATACCAGATATCTGTACACAAGCATATTTATATACCACACACTTGGCTTCCTGTAAAGTTTGTGAGCAGGCTGGGGTACATTATATACAGTACAGGAATCCTGCACAAACACAGGAAATAACAGCTGCAAGTGTGTACGAGGCTCAGTTAACAGAGAACACAGATCGCTGCTGCCCATGGTGAAGTGGAAGATGGCTGAACATACTTCATCCACATGTGTTTCCTAATATTTGTGTAGTTTTGAAACTGGCAGCTCCAGAGGCATTATCAATGTAAGCAGCCTGGTACTTCTTGACACACATTTAGGGCCAGGCCTTGGGTGGAATTGTGTCAAGTACACTTCTAGATGCCCTGGGGTACTCTGCCTCACCTGCAGCCACTTCTCCAGAAGGGCACAGGGCTGTCCCAAGTTTCTTATTTGCTTACTTCCATCCAGATGACTGAGATCTGAGATAGGAAAAGATACCTCAAAAGCAATAGAGTAATTTCCCCTCCCCTTCCCTCTCAGCTATCTCCCTCTAATTCAAAGTCCAAGAAAGATGAAGTATGTATCTTCATTGTATTCAATAAATCCCAGTAGCAGACCAATCTTTCTACGAACAATAGCTTCCATAAATACTGTTTTCCCAGGGGCTTGTACCTCATGCTAATTCACATTACTGCCTTAGAAACTGTAAGCACCAAATTAAGCTTCTGCCACAGCCGGGGCATCTGTTAAATTTCACTGAATTTGTAAGCCCATAGTAATGTTCCCCAAATCAGAAATTACCATTTCTGATCATGGAGGGGAGGGAGAAGCAGACGTCTAAATAGAAAGATAAATTGCTGAAAGCACAGTTTAAATGACCGACAAAACCTGAAGAAACACATACGAACTGGGTTTGCTCAACAATTTACAAAAGAAATAAACAACCAAGACCCAAAATATATGGAAACATCATGAGCATTACTTCAATATTTATGGAACATAACTTTACTGCGTTCAGCTCTGGGGCCCCCAACATAAGAAGGACACGGACCTGTTGGAGCAAGTCCAGAGGACAGCCATGAAGATGATCAGAGGGCTGAAGCACCTCTCCTATGAAGACAGGCTGAGAGAGTTGGGGTTGTTCAGCCTGGAGAAGAGAAGGCTCTGGGGAGATCTGATAGCAGCCTTCCAGTACCGGAAGGGGGCCTACAAGAAAGCTGGAGAGGGACTTTTTACAAGGGCATGTGGTGATAGGGGAAGGGGTAATGGCATTAAACTGAAAGAGGGTAGATTTAGATTACATATAAGGAAGAAATTCATCGCTCTGAGGGTGGTGAGGCACTGGAACAGGTTGCCCAGAGAAGTTGTGGATGCCCAATCCCTGGAAGTGTTCAAGGCCAGGTTGGATGGGGCTTTGAGCAACCTGGTCTAGTGGAAGGTGTCCCTGCCCATGGCAGGGGGTTGGAACTAGATGATCTTTAAGGTCCCTTCCAACCCAAACCATTCTATGATTCTATGATTAACCAACCAGAATTTCACCAGTCATTCGCAATGTGCTGCCTTCCAGATGAGTATTGGTTTTGACATTAAGCATCACTACTGAAATTTTTATTGCTCTCAGCAGTTTTGAGCTGGATGTGGAATTAGAGCTTATGCTTAATAAACTATTCAGCGTAGGAAAATATAGTGAGATACATTTAATCCAGAAATACACAGAAGATTTCTAGCTTAAGTATTAATATCAATCAGAGATGATGAGACCATGCCATGGGTTGCATTGTTTGTATCTGATATATATTTGTACCTTTGTTAACTGCAGTTCTATTTTTTTTTTATTCAGGTAAGCTCAAATTTTAGTTATAACTGCTTACACATTTCATGCCTGACCTTCGTAAGCACTCTCATTTGATTTATTTATTTATTTTTGGTAAGAGAGTAATAAAGAGAAAAACAGCAATTAAGAACAAATATTCTGAATATTTGTATTAATTAGACTGATCTATGTTGGGACAAAATATTCACAGAATTTCAAATCAAGACAAGTTATTTTCTAATTATAACAAAAGAATGGCTATGCAATATAGGTTTAACGTACAGCTAATGTATTAACTGGAAGCTTTTTATTGCTTGCTTTTTCATCTGTTCTGTACCTTTTCTGTGTGATCTGCCCAATCACTGTATTCTGTTTAATATTAGGCACCAATTCCTATGGCATTACTCGTAATAGTTAAGCTAAGTAAACATGTATGTATTTGCAAAGCTGAGACTTTAGATGACAAAATGTGACGAAGGCCTCTGTGTTTGTATAATCCCTAACACAATGGATGCGCTGCCACCTCCGGGACTTCTAAAGTAAATAACTAAAAACTAATCCACCATCCTCATTAAATAGGGAGACGGCCATTTCATTATGGTCTTTTCAGCAGATTTTTCTCACCAAATCTCACACAGAGAACAAATATTTGTTATATCAGGATTCGGAACAGCTGAATGGCATGAATAGTATAAATATTAACCGTGGAAGAGTTTCTGCAACAAAAATTTCAAAGCAAAATTGGTAAATATGAAACTCCCCTTTTCAAGATCAGGCTCCTTTAGAAAGCAATACTGATGCAGAATTCTAGATGGGAACTTTAAAAGTCAGCGATTGCTTTAGTCACTTCAGGTTCCCTCCCGCAGCTATGGCCCTCCTGCAGACCCAGCTGACAAGGAACAACAACAACAACAACATGAAATATAATTGTTCCAGAGAGTCAAGCTAATACAACTCCCATGCTTAATTTAATTGCAGAATAGACAAACAGAAAATAATGTAGCAGTTCCCCTTGAGATCATTCACTATTAATCCTATATGCAATTTAATAAATGCATTAATTTCTTAAGTTTTCATTAACATCAAATACATAATATAGATTAAAAATGTTTACATATGATTTTTAGATGTATTTACTGTTTGCAACTAGTAAAAGGGTTATTCTTGAAGTTCGTGTACTTCATACATAATAAGCCAATTAAAAAAAAATGCTCAATAAGTTAGGCATGCCACTAGACTCATCTTTTTCAATACATATATTTTTTAAGATTAGTGCTAACGAGAAGGATGAGCATGACATTTAATATTTTGTGTAACATAAAGCAAGCTAAGGCAATCTTTTCGCCATATAAATTACTACACATTTTTCATTGCAGTCTGCCATTCTTCCCAACACATTCCCTACAAACTGATGAAAGGTTATTTTTCTAATATATTACTTATTCTGATCTCACTTGCAGCTGTCTATAATCAGAGAAATAGCTTTTATGAGGTCAACAGATCTTATCAGTCAAATCAGTTTAACTGTTCCTTTAAAGTATATTAAGGCTTGTTTTTCCCTCACTGATGTTTTTGATGTCATTCAGAAAGTGAGCTGTTGAGCAGCCATATACAAGAAAAACACCTCAGATCAAACTGTTTATAATCTAATATTAGCAGACAACAAGATGTGCTCGGTCCACATGCAAATACTTGCAAGATAGTACAGCTGCGGAGAATTAACAGACACTATTTCATCGTATTAGAATCAACATAAGTTTTATCGTTCACAGCAACTGGGAGAATAATTCAGCCCTGTAATGGCTAGGAGGGCTGTCTTACACAACAAACTAGTAAACAGATCCTTTGTGGGGAATATACGTTCCTTCGGAATGTAGTTGAAATGAAAATTTTCCTGTGCGTTTAACTTGAGCAAGACATGTTTTGGTCCAATTCCCTAGTGAAATTATTAAAAGTGCTTTTATAGTTGTACTTTGGCTGGAGAAACTACTAAAATAAAAGAAAAGGTAAGTCTTTTTTAGTTTTATTTTGCTGGCTCAATTAAAAGTCAAGTCAAACGTAGGGCAACTTCATGCATTCAGAATCCTTTACAGTTCTGATAAGTCTATTGCTGTTATCACATACCCAATAGCTATTAGTAAGGTCAGGTGAATTGTTAAGGTTAACAGTTCACTTTTTTTCCTTGTCATTAACACGACACTCTCCAGTAATTCTTCCCACTGTCAGTTAACATTTTTGACCCTCAAAATTCTACTTTTTTTTTACATGCAAAGTATATCCAAGTGCTTTTCTTCAAAACCTAGGGGGAATAGAAAAAAACATATCCATCCTTTGGAAAAGTTAGTTTCACCGGGGTCAAAAAAATTATTAAACCTACAACTTGACTAAGAAATAGTTTTAGGTGCACTTTTGAATATTTAACATAGACTTCCACTCTTCCAGTAGAGAGCAGTATAGGATATTTTAGGAATAAAACAACATCTGTTTTCTTTTGTCACCACATTTCAATCTTTAAAAAAAACCAGTCTTTCACAGTGCCACAATTCTTTATTACTCTGAAATCCCTGAACATTAAAAGTTCTTTTATGCAAATTTAAATGCATAATTATATGAAAAAAAAAAACCTTACCAAACTCATACAATAAAGAAAGGAAAAAAGCAATGCAAAATTACTGGATACCTGCTGTCAAAATATGACAAATTAGCTCCTTCTACAGCAGAAGTTGAAGGGATGTTGATTTACTGATGAAAGGAAGACAAATGTATCCACATTCTGATAACATCAGAATGACAGTATATAATATAAAACCAGAAAGAAAGAGAAGTGGAACCAGTTTTGAAGCTATGCAGAAAATAGATGAACAAATGTCTAAGCTGTTAATCACTTCCTAAGACATGAACAATTTTTGTTCAGCCTTGCATACATGAGTCTTCTCCGTCAATTAAACAGAAGTACAATATGGACTATAAAATACACACCTCTTTCTATTTTGGGTTCCTTCTCTTTCCCCACCCTACAGTCCAGTTCCCCACCTGTAACAGCCTCCTTGGTTCTCTACCAATACATGTTTTTGCCAGAACACATAAATGTTTGGATTTTTCCCTTTTGGGGAGCACTCCTCTGGTGACACCTTAAAAACAACTGCCTCTCCCAGGCATTATTGCTGCTCAAATGAGAGTGGAAATCAAACTCACCACATGAGGGTATGAGAGAGAAAAGTGCAACAGACATCAGCACATTCCCTGAATATCCCCTGCTTGCCTGACATGTAATGTTCTGCACAAACGGTGACTCTGACACAGGAAAAACATCCTATGCATTTTTCTGATGGAGTGTTGGAGTACTATTTGCCAAAAGAGGAAGGAATGCATGATTAAAAATATAAAGAAAAAAAGAAGGGTCTTCTAATGGAAATCTTCTAAAGGAAATAAAATATTACCACGTATTTCATCCATCAGTAGAATTAAGCCAAATGCATGTGAGAAAACACAGATGAAAATATTTACAGTAATTAAGATAGAAAGAAAAATCTATTTGATAAGCTATTGAAATGTTGGGGGAAAAAACAGAGCCATTAGAGAAAGGACCATAAAATAATTAGGTAACCATTAACAAAAGCATCCTCCAGATACAGTGATGTAAAAAACATGTTGTGCTTAATTTTAAGCAACCTCTCAACAAGCCATGCTGGTTTAATTTGTACTTTCTTCTATTCTCTAGAAGTGTAGTAACTAAGAACTCTTCACTATCAAATGTGTAAGCAATCATCTTAGTCTTTAAATCTGTTGCTATGACTAAATAATAAAGAACTTAATCAGATAACTAAAGCTTATCATGTCTTTGAACAGTTGATGGACATAGACAATGTAGACATTTCCTTGGAGCAGTACATCTCACCACGTTCTGGATGCGGTTCTTGCCAGGAACCCGAATGGCTGGAAGCAGAAACATCTAGAAACATTCTGGTAAAGATGCCTGAGAAACTGAGGATGTACGGCAGTCCTAATCCTGCCTACACCTGTCTTCTAACCCATGTTTAGATTTGATGAGAAATTATATAGCTGCTCACTGGGAAGAAACCTGAAGAAGCGTGGTCCAAGTAAGCTAAATCTAGCTTGGTGTAATTTTAAAGGCAAAAGAATGAGAATAATTACACCAGGTCATATTCTTCCTCAAGTCCCACTGCATTTTAATCCACAGCCAGATGAGAAAAACTAAAGGGCACAGAAAAAGGAGAATACAATAGGAGTATACATTTATATTAACATAACCACTTAGTTTGTAAGCAGAACATCAGGAGAATTTAGGACACACTTTGTAAATGATCAAAACTTAGATCTTCTCCAGAGAGATCAGTGTGGACATACACTAAGACAGCTATCAACAAGGATGTATTTAAAATTAAATCAGATTGCAACACAGCTATCAAAGCCGTTCTCTGCATAAAAACATCTAATCCTAAAGGTAAAATAATGTTAAGAGATACAGCTAGTACCTCCACAAGGAAGATAAGAGCAGGCTGGAATACAGAAAGAAAGCAGAAAAGGTAAAAAGCTTATCTTGTCAAGACTGTCACTATAGAAAATACCAGTTGTACAAGAAAAAACATTATTCTTCAGTCCATCGATCTACACAGCACTTCAGAAGCACATCTCAAACTTCCCTGTACCATGCCCTGAAGAGTGGTCAGGCTGAATCTGAAGATTATAATGGAGCTGGGAGGGTGACAGGGAGGGTGTACACTGCTCTCCCATTGCATACACCATTATCAGCCACCTTACAGCCGCACAGATTTTAGCTGCAGGCTGAGAAGAAACACAGCTACATGCAGACTTACTTCCACCTCAAACAACTGCATGAGGAAAAAACAGTTCTTTCACTCTGCTCTGCAGACTTGTTAGCTGGAGCTAACAGTTCACTGCTGGTCTAAGTGAGCTCTCCATTCCCACCCAGTGGAGGCTCGGAGGCAGCAGCAGGAGGGTAATATCAGTATCCTTTAGGGATACTCCAGCTTGGAGCAAAAAATGTGCAAGCTCAATTAATTTTTAGATAATTCTTTAGAAGTTTTTGATGTATAGGAAAAGAGCTTAAAGAGGAAGATTTTAGCAGCGCACAAATGACAGTGATGCTAATAATACACCATACTGAAGGCCTGTTTTTCTTTTAAGCCCAGGTGCATTTCCCATAGCTGATATATAAACAAAAAAATCAGAGATAATATTTGGCATGAAAGAAACAAGGGCATGGGAAGATGGTAGTGAGAACAAATTTATCAGGAGAAAAATACTTTCTTATGGTATGTTCTTTGGTTGTGAGTGGGACACACATTCTTTTGATAGCATTCTTTCTTCAGGTGTGCTGCACTGTTCACCACCCTTCACATGTAAAAATCCTTTGCTCAGAGACTGGATAAAATGAAGCAGTAAATTAAAGAACATGCTTCCAAACTTTATCCTCTGGGTTTCAATTTGGACACACTCAGTGTTTCCAGTTTTGGCATTTACACATGGGAACAGATTGATTGATTGATTGATTGATTTTGGCAGAAGCATCTGTCAGCTCCTTTTACTGCAACAGGAGATGTCTGTGGGTAATCCAAAGGCACCATCATCAGGTTATTATAGCTCCTTTGCTTCAATACAGAAACTATTAACACAGAGATTCATCTAACATCAAACAATGGCATCAAATTACAATCTTCTGTTTCTCCACTGCTATTCATCAACTCTGCAGAGCCTCCTGTAGTGTTACTGCTTGGAAGTTTTAGGATAACTAACAAGAGATAACTCATCACATGGGCATACTGTTGACTAATGTGATTTAGCTTGACCATACCCACAGTCTTTCTGAGTTGCTTCTGACTTGCCTAGAAAATAACTGAGCCATCCAGCTACAGGTGCTGCAGCTTGTAGCAGCTTGCCAGCTCCTGCAATCCTCTGTTGTGACTCTCATATTTTATTTAGTCTCTGACCGCCAAGAACTAAGAACTGGCAACTCTAAATTCACCGCTGAAACTTAAAATACAGTATCTCTTTATTTCTCTAAGAGTTATCGTTATTGAACCAATATTCACTGAAGGTGTTTATTCAAACAGATTATACTTCTGATAATGTGGGTGCACAGGGAAGGGTATCTGTACATTCATAAGAACGATTCTGTATCCAGACAGGGAAAACAGAACTTCCTTTAGAAAGGTATATTCCAAACATGAAGCCTCTGATACTCACTCACTGAAGACATATCATACTGCTTGAATGCCTCAATTCAGAAGATTTGTATTCCCAACTGGATTGTTCCCAGTAAAAAAATATTTACCCTAACTTAACTGAAGAGAGTCCACCTAAAAATAATTCACAGTCGCTATTTTAAACATCAACTTTTCAGCTTCAGAAGGGCATAATAACTGAGTAGACAGATTTTTCAGCTTTAAAAGTCCATAATTAGATAGTAGACTTAGTTCTGCATGACAGGAATTGGATTCAACTCAAGTATAATTTCTTTATGGAAACAGTAGTCAGAGTAAGCCCTCAAACTTACTGAAATACTATTTTTCACCAAGTCCTGGATATTTTCAAATATCTTAATGTAAGAAAGTTGACATCTTGTTTGCATTTTTTTTTTCATAAACCAGATGCCAATACCGTGATTTAATTTACATTAACCATAAGACACAACTTCAACAACTCCTGTATTCCACTCAAATGCACTGAAGCAGCACCAACAGCTCTACACCTACAGACTCTTTTGCAAAGAAGTCAAATGTACTAGAACTAGAAAACTAAAGCTAGAAACTTTAGAACACAGAGACCACCTTTGCTTTAATTCCCACTTAATCTCCGCAGATGCTAGCTAGCAACACTGGCAAGTCTAGAGGGAACTTCATTGCACTGCAGTGTGAGAAAATGTTTTCACTGTTACTACTTTGTATAAACCCACTAGTCTACCCAAACTGAGGGTACAGTTCATTTTCTTTAGCATTCCCATAAAGCTAAAGGACAGACCCCCCCCCCCCCAAAAAAAAAACCAAACCCAAAACAACCCACCCAATCTAGTACAATGCTACAATTAAAGGAATAGCAACATCAAGATCCAAAGTGCTGGTATTCTCAAAACAACTTTCTTAAGAGTTACCACTATAACACCCTGCACAAGACATGCAAAACTGTTGTCCTAGTTTTTGGCTGTTTTGCCCTGCTGTATCAACCCACTGTTTTTTATAATGCCACTGTTCCTTTAACGGTAACATGTACTGGTCTGCTCTGTATTAGCATCCTGCAGGCTATCTAGCTTTTTCCACAAAATATAGCAAGTTAAAGCTTGAACTCAGTGTTCTCAAGATCCATCTGTCCTGTTGATTTTTTTTTCCTGTTGCAAATATTCAGCCTATCAAACAAAACCTCCCCAAGAACAATGAAAACTGAACCGAGATGACAAAAAACTCTTACGAAGAAACAAGCTACATTGTTAAGTATTTGATAAGACCAATCTTAGTTCATAAAACTGGCAAAAACATTCTGCTTTACCAATAAGATGAAGCTTTCTAAAATTTGGAACATTTTGATTAACTCAGAACTTCTTTAATGGAATGAAGCAGCTGAATTAGGGGTGCACCTCTGAGCCACATGAGTAAACAGGCCATGACGTCATTCAGAAAGCGGCTGTTCCTTCAAAGAGATATTTTGCAGATTACTTCATTGTTAGGCATGAATCTGAGTGCAGGCTTCAAATTCTTTCTTTCATAACAACATGTACAAGAACAGCCAGGAGTTTCCATGTGCCGTTTCAAGGTGGGATTGTGCAATTCTAAGCGTTCAGCTTGTAATAACTTCTTCAGACTGAAGCTGGACACAAAAATCACTAAAGCCTTCCTCTGTTCAATGTAAATAAACTCTACAAGTTGTGGAAGAAATTGTGATGGATTTTTATATATATAGTATATAAATTAATAAAGACAAATGGAAAAGTATTGAAGTTACTCTTTTGTACTGGAAAATATTAACAGTATCTTATAAAAACAAAGATACAGTTCCACAGACATTTTCAATTTTGTGAATAAAGTTTATTTTGCTCTAAACTAATTTCTACCTCTTTTGTCCTTGACTAACATGATAATGCTGAACTCGTAGTATCACACACTTTTGCCGTGGCAACATGCAACGACATTGTAAACACAGAAACAGGAATTCCCTATGGGACAAAAAACAGAAGTCACAGTTAGGAACAAAATTCTCATTCAAGCACAAATAACCTTAGTAATAGGAACAAATAACTACTGTCAATTACTCTCAGTTTGTTAAAGCCCTCTTCCAGTTTAATGTGAAATATGAAACTGCCTATTTTAAGGACATTGCCTCTCTTCTGAATCAGGACTTTTAATACTGTGAGCCTTACTGCACCATAGATTAGAATAAAAACTCCTGTTTTAAATCTTGATTCATAGAAACACTTGGCTGTCAAACAGAGGACAAGCAGCACAGTAGAAAATAATTATTCTGGAGAAAGAATCATGAATGTGTGGAGCTAGTGCTTTAGGTTTAGTAGCCTGGAAATTTAATACCACTTTTGGTAATTTTTTCATGCAACACAAATTTTGAACATAATCCAAACTTTTTTTAAAATTAGCATTACCACAGAAGATCATCTGCTCTTTAAATTCTAGTATTATAACTAGTTTAGTGTGTAGCAAATAATTTATATGTGGGGGAGATAATAGACAACACAGGACAGATATATGTACTGAGGTGTATTAAAGGACAGAAACATGAAGTGTGAACTACCTTTGTTGTTTTGTTTTGTTTTTTGTTTCCTAAACTGTAGAGTTCCTATACTGAGAACCACTACATTTGTAAAAAAAGAATGAGCCTAACATTTTCTTAGTAAAGCAACTTCAGTGGGGAAATATGCTGAGTAAGTATGTAAAGCATAATCCATAATCACATGGATAATCTACAAAAATGTGCTAAAATAAACACCATATTCACATAAATTTGATGTAAGTGGCTAAGAAAATGTCTGTGTTTTCCAACTAAAAATGTCTTTTTTTTTCTTTGCTCCCAAAACCTTCTTCCTAAGCTCCATCTACTACTTTAAACGTATTGTTAATTTTATACAAATGACATTTGTAGACATCTTTCTGCATTTCCGTATTCACAAAATACCCTCAGAAATTTTCAGAGAATATTTGACTGGGGTAGCCAAGTGAAAATCAGATTAGTTGTCTATCTGTGGAAGTTAAAGAGAGAGAAGCTTGATGCAGCAGAGAAGAAAAACACAGGGGACAAAGCAGAGTAGTAACTGTGACCGCAAAATTGCATCACGTTTGAAGTTCTGAGAAAATACCTTTAAAACAAAGTGGGTATCTTGTGGAAAAAGAAAAAGGATAGGGAAACTGGCACCGGTTCTGGGTGCTTTAATTATTTGAACTGAAAAGGGATAATACCATAAAAAAAAGCATACCTAGGAGTCAAGCTGAAAGAGAAAATGAAGAACAGAGGCTGGAGTGTACTGGAACATATGGAAGCTTAACACTAAATGGGTGGCACTTAAACACAGCCGTTTGATAGCCTTTTCACCTACTACAGGTTCATGACCACAGTACAAGGTAACCTATTAAAGGATCATCAGGAATCACATTTAAGATTTCTATGGAATAACATAAACATACTGGAAATCTTTTTTTCGAAGACTGGGAACATACCCTTAACATACCTCTGCCTCATTATTCATCAATGTCCTGCCTGCATAAAAGTCAAATCCTACTCCGAATCCCTTTCCTTCAATTCCATCACAGGTTCTGGAAGCAAGTACTACATAGGCAATGAGCCTTCACAAGAAAAGCACGTCTTACATTGGTTTAGCTGTACTGGATCTTTCACTTTTCCTACATGTAACTGGAATGTGATGATTATTGTTTTATGAACCTGTTTATATTCTCTCGTTAATCTGTTTTTTAGAAGAAGCTGTCTTTTCTTCACATAATCTCACATGAAAGCCAGCTATAAAACATATGTGATCATCATAATTCAACACTTGGCCTTCAGGCACTTCAAGAATATCAGTAACAAGATTTTTTTCCAAAAGCTAGCAAGGATGAGAGTCATTTATTTTAAAATAATACTTGGAACAGAAAAAACTGCCTCTTTAAGCTACCATTCTGTAGATATTTAAAAAAAAATTTGCAGAGCACTACCTAAACATAGGAAATATTTTTGCCTCTGAACAATACAAATTAGGGAATTGGATTTTTTATTAGAAAGATTATTTTAGCAAACTGCAAAAATATTTAATAGTGACTATTTCAACCTGACCACATCAGATACGAAATGAAACCACTATTATCATGACCTTCAGATCCATCAGCAGATGAGATGGACATCTCAGATGAACTGTTCTAAGAGAACATAACTGAGTTGGAAAGTAATTTATAAATTATTTTACAATGGCAATTAATCCAACACTAACGTTGGCTGTCTCACTTCAGAAAAAATATTATGCTTTTCAATAAAAGACCTATATTCTGGTACTAAAGTAGTAAAATTAATCTAGTCTAGATCACTATAGCGATACCTGCATCGTTAGGTGACCACAAAATAAGAAACCAGTCTATTTTAAAATCCTTCATATAAGGATTTAGAGTCTTCTCTAAATAGCAACATAATCCTTTTTAGTAAGAGAGCAGGTATTGAGAATACATTTAGTCTTGAGCTCAAGGCACTGAAGTAGAATTCAAAATTTGGGATCTGATTAGAGAACAGAGATTTGGGGCAGATTTGCAGAAAACCTCCAGTATTACCTCAGTTCCCTATCTTTAAACTGAGGATAATAATTCACCCATTTCTTGTCTGCATTATCATTGAATTATTCCAATTGAGAAGAAAGCTCATGAGAGTCAAGTCCAAGGTCTTCTGATACTTATTCTGAACTTTCATCTATGACTATTTGCATCAGGATAGCATCTAGAGCCTCCATCTCATTATTCTGTACAAATAGAGGCTGTACAAACATCAAAAAGATAGCCCTTAGCTTCAAAGAATTTATGATCTAATGAACTATGATAAATTACACTAACCTCTTGGAAATGCGCAGCACAATTTCAGTTAGTACCTCTGAGTGTTACTGATAAAAAATGTAAAACATTGAAACCCATTCTTCTTTGTAGACATCATTCTAACAGTAAATCCTAATACATGTAAAAAGCTAAAACTAGTACAAAATGAACAGAGTGCTCTCAGATTTTAAAAATAAAAAGAGGTCCATGTGAAGACGTCCAACTTTCCCACTTCCCTCTCTTCCGGTTACCCAAAGGCAAGCCCCTGACATACGTCACTAAAGGAGTAAGGAGGATTCACTTGACCCCATACCAAAGCAAGACCACTTGTACTGTCATTTAGACATCTGTTAAGGAAAAAAAAAAACACAAAACAAAAAACAATACCCAAACCCTGCACCTACTTTTAAAGCTTTTAAAATTGATTTGAACATTAAGCATGCACATGCAATTTTGTTGAATGCTTTTTCATTTTGAGAATGGGTTTGCCTTTAATAGTTGCAGTTCCTCAAAGCCTCATAAACTGCAAGTTGGGATATGGCCTCTAAATTCTGACTTAGGAAAACCTATACTTTCCTGACTTCAATGGATTTTCAGCAATAATCCTATATTCATGAGCAGACAAGACTTCCCTCCCACCCAATCTTATTAACCAAATGCTCTAATTAATGTGATTTGCTGGGTTACTTATCTCTGTCTCCCTAGTATCTCCCATTTCAGAAGCACGTAAGTGCTACAGCAATAGTAAGAGATATGGCTTAGAGACATTTTTAGTCCATGCTTCAAATTATCTGTTCCTTCAAATGCAACCTTTGGTTCCACACATATCATTAAGATTTGATGTGTATGTTTGTTTCCACATTTCCCCTCTTTTCAGTAATACTACAGCAACAAATTGAAAAACAACTTGTAAAACAACTTGTAAAACTACAGTAATTGACTAGATTTGATTTCCCTTAAGGATCCAGAATGAAGAAAATACTACTTATGCAAAAGTATACAGGAGGAAAAAAATCTAAAGTTTAGACCAATGTAGTCCACCACTCTCTCATTTTTAGTGGCCAAATAATAATTTCTACTGAAAATGCAAAGCATTTTAACAAAGCTTTACAAATTAGTTCATGTAAATATTTTTCCTTTGCTATGTCCCAAACTATGACTAGTTCCTCTACTATGTTACACCTAAAATTCTCAGGTTCAAAGTTCAAAATGCTTTTTAAAATAGGCCAAGGCTGGCTGTACACTTTCTGAATCAGAGTAATCTGAAGGAGACATTTCTGAGAGAAATATTCATTACAGTTCAGGATCCACAACTGACTAGCGTATGTTATTACTTTATTAAAGTTAATAAAGTCAGAGACTGCAGGTGGTGACTTGTCCAATGGTTTCCTGAGCATGAATCCTCATGGAGATCAGTATGTGTGAAACTTCTTTTCTGAATGGTGAACAGCCTGGCTGTTGGACAGATTCCTGTAGTCTTGCTTTTGTTGGTAAAATTGTATGTCCTTGTAGAAGTTTCTGTTCAAAAAGTTGTGCCATTCTCTTATTTTCTATGATCCACTTCTATTTATTTTTGCTAGTTTATTTTCGGAGAGTTTCCTAATTATTTTTGGTGAATAGTAGATGTAAGAAGAAGGCAGTAGCTCCATAAACATAGCAAAGGCTGAGCAAACAGAAATACCCAGCTTTGTCGAAAGTAAAAATGGGAGATGAGAAAGAGTTAATTCATCTGCAGGCCTGATTCTAATTTAAAGCAAGAACAATCTATAAACTGCTGTGGGCCACCTAGCCCACAAGTACAATAATCCAGATGTTTGAACTCTACAGCCTATTAGTTTCAGTGTCAGACATGCAACTCACTTGACACTTGACAGTCCAGAGGCTAAAAAGCCTGCTTAAAGAAACCTCACATTCTCACAGCTGACAGCTCACGTGGAAATACAACTGTGCAGAAAGAATCCCCGGAGGGCATGCTAATGAGGCTAATTGGTAGTTTCAAGCAGACTTAAGGAGAGGCAAGGGAATAAATATCAGCAACAGAGAAGGAACAGAAAGGGACACGGAGAGTTGAGCAAATCTTTGCAGACCCTAAGGTCTTTGGAAATTCCATCCTTTTTCTTTGCACACTTTTTTTTTGTTTTGTTAATTCGTTTTGGGCAAACCTCTGAGTTTTGTTCAGCTGTCTTGAACGGACGTTCGCATCACTCACTGCCCATTAGTCAACTGGTGCCTGCTCTTGCCTGGTGCTGAGGAACTCATGACTCCCAGTATCTTTCACAGTAAAGTGAAGATTTATACTCAAATACAAATTTATTCTTTTTCTAAAGAATAAGAAAATGACATTATAAAAGTTGTTACAAAGCTTGTAATGATTTTGAGTCTTTTGTCTCAACAGTCTCATTGCTCCGCTCTTTTGAGACAGATACTGGGGAAGGGCAGTGATGCGTCTGTTTAAAACTTATTTTAAAACTTTTAGTTAACGCAGTATCTTTAGAAATATGCTTTAGATGCTGTGTTCAATACTAAATGCCATATTATGAAGAATTGCTGTTGAAAGAGGATTGCTATTACTGCTATAGAAAAACTTCTACTTGCCTTTTCTGTATATCATACATATGTACAAATATATTCTTGTACTTTCAGAACTTGCTGGATTAACACTTCAACATATGGCTGTCCTACATTCCAACAAACAGCTCTTCTACACCAAGACTACTGGAAAGAATTAAAATTTATACAACAAAAATAATCTGAAGAATGTACCTGGCACAGAGGAGTCTCAGGTACCATGTTGTTAAGCAGTGTACTCTGTTAATCATGCCATCAACACAAGTCTTCCTAACTGCAGACCATGCCAGATAAATCAATACTACGGAATCCCCTGCTGCAGATTTTCAAACTTAACCAAAAAAATGCATATACCTAGGAGATCAAATCTTAGAGTAAAAGGCTACAAAAAGCCTTGAGCCAGTTTCCCAGATATGTATATATAAACTATAGGCCTCATAATCTGGAAGTCATATGAATTCCAGAAGTTTCACATACCAGCCTTCCTGCACCTCTGTCCTGGTTCCAGCTGGGACAGAGTT